TATTTATTTATTTATTTATATGTATAAATAAATATTTATATAAATGTGTATGTATAAGTCAAAATTTCTGATTTGTAAAATGTAAAAGTTGTTTTGTTATTTTTGAAATAAGGTAAAGATAAAGTAGGGAAAGTGAATTTTTCCCATTTCTTATTCAAAGGTGAAACCCAAGGTTTTAATATCGATTCTTGAAGCCTAATAAGAACATCAGCCTTATAATCTGACCCAATATAGTTAACGTTGGGCTTTGAGTAAACTGGACACTGTCCAACAAGACATTAGAAATGGTCCGAATGACTATGAATTTTAAGGTTTCCTTATGAAGGGAAAAAATCACAAATACCTTACATATATATAAAATTCACTTTTTACTACTTAACTAAAATTAAAATTGAAATTACTACACCATTAAAAAAGAAAATCACAATTACTGGAATCAAAACTTTCCATATTTTCATCCGTAACTGACATTGACGATGCACGATAGAAATGAAGGGACTTAATTGAGAATATGTTGGAATTGATGATACGATAAGAGCAAACAATAGTGAAATTGACAAATCCAACTTCGTAACCGGAATAAAATCAACTCTTGTCGATTTTCATCATGCGTTACATTTGGATTGCGGATTCTCTCGACCCATTTCTCATAAGCAAATTATTTATGAAAATCAGAATTCAATTACTAGAGGCTATTTCTTCGAACTCCAAATCCCTACCTTGTCTTTGTTTATATTTTTTTTCCAAGGACCTATTTTGTTTGATTTGCTGAATCCCTCATAAATCAATTTCAATTTACAAATATATTGTCTTTTTTCGAGGTTGGCTTCCTACAGAAAAGAAAATTTAGCTTTATGTTCATACATCATATAAAAATTACTTCCAAAATCACAATTTCCATAGTAATGATTGATGTCTTAAATTAAATATTTCCGTTACATGATGACGATGGTTCAAAAGTTTGTTAAGAGTTTATGTAGATGCAAAACAATCTCCAAAATGTCTAAATTGGAGATTGCAGAATAGATTTTCGAACCTAAATCGTGGAGAAAAAACGAGAGTGTAGTATCAAGAAAATCGATCTGAAAGCGGAAGACGATCTCTTGAGATCAATTTGGTGGGGTTTGATATCTTTAGAACGTTGGAGGAGAAAGAAATTGTGATTTTTGTTTATTGTTTATCTTTGGAGTATTAGTGAAGAGGTATTTGGGGATTAATAGAGTGATGATAGCATGTCTTTTGATTAATTTTGAAGAGTAAAGTTAAAATTACTGCATAAAGTAAAGTATTTCATGATTCAAAAATAATATGAAATGTAAAATATGAATATGTTTTTTAAATGTGGTATTGGGTAAAGATGTAGCACATACAATTCTCGATTAAATTTGATGCTAGTGTGTTTCATCATTTTCAACACGAGGCACCACTCTGTGGCTTGGCTTTATTTAAAAATACCTGTGTATTTTAATTTTTTTTTCTCGACCAACATTTTATTGTATTTGATGAGTATAAATGTGTTAAAGCTCCGATCTTGAGCTCATGACCCCCGAACTTGGCCCCCTCAAATATCAAAACTCCAAGGTCGGGGTTGGTCTTTGAGGTCGGGCTTGATCTATGAGGTTGGGCTATTCGTGCCATTTGATCAATCTACTTGACCTTATCTCACACCTTCTATAAACAAAATCCCTCAAATCGTGTACTTCTGACATAACATAAACACCTTGTATAACAAGGATAAAGACTATAGGAAGTTAAATCATTTTGAGACTCCATCTCCAACATCTATAAATATATAACACAGCCTTATTATTCAGGTACGTTTTTATTAATATTCCAGCATACAATCTCTTGCACAATTTCTCTATCCGACTTAAATATCGGTGGGACGGTGAGGACACATCTCGACGCCTTTATTTCAGGTATTGAAGACTAGATCGTGCGGAATCCAATCACCAGTTCGAGTTCATTCACGTACAGGTTTTTGGTAGCATCGGTATTATTTTCTAGATGGTATTTCTCTTTAGACCATCTCGTATTTGGATTTTTCTTTGCTTGACGATTTTTGTTTGTTCATCTTTTTCTTTCTCCCATTACGTATGTCGATATACCGTAGACATTTTCTGGTCACCAAGTTTCACATCTTTCTTTTGTCTCACCAATTATCTTACGATCAACTTAGTTACAATGTATACTTTCTCAACAAATTACGCCAACAATGAAAGCTATACCAATTAAATACGAAAATCTCAAGAAATTTTTCTTATATGAAGTTGGTCAACAAAGAAAGAACGATTCTTATCTACCCTTCAAATATGTTAAAAATAATTTCCAAATGTCTTATCTTATATAGTGGAAGAATGCACAATTTTTTTATATGGTTGCATCATAGTCATCCCATTAAATTGGAAGATGGAAATGAATGTTTATTTGTCGACATAATTAAAGGTTTCTCCACTTATGTCACTCCCTTTAGCGTGCAACTACTCTACTATGAGCAGTTTAACCAAAATCTGTAATTGGGTCACACTTCATTACTTTTTTTTTTTTTGAACTTTTTTCTTCTCTCTCGATAAATAATTCGATAATAGACGATACACAACTACCGCAATTAATTTTCAGGAAGTAAATTTTTTTTTTTAAATCTGTGTGAGTTGACGGAGAATTGGTCACAAAAAATAAGCAAATTTGCAATTGAAATGTGTTCGTCGGGAAGCAATTGAGGTTTTCCACGAGAAAATTGGCCTGTCTGACGTGTTTGAACATCTAGGAATTTTTAATTTTTTTAATTAGTTAATTTATTTGTTTAAAGAATTATTTATATGGCCCACATTTTTAAAAAATGGTCAAAGTAGTCTTGTTTTAATCATCAAAGAGAATACTAACAACTTTTTTTTTTCTTTTATTTAGAAAACTTTCTTTTACAAATCAATTCAAGCATTTAATTTTTCTTTGGGGTCATTTGCTTTTGTTAAAGTACGTTCAACCCTAAAAAGTCGACTTAGTAAATAAATCGACTAAACGAATGAATTAGAGAGCTAGATCGGTGATTAACATCTCTCTTAAAAGATTGATGACCTGAAAATTCGAATTTTATGTTGTATCGTTCATCCAAGATGCATTGCTTGGTATAATTCTTTTTCTTTTTGTTGCACGAGGAAGTTTATTGAAGTGCGGAAATAGTAATTACTAACATCCCCTATTATTCCAATACCAAAAAAATCCTCCATAAAAGCAGAAGTTTTTATACGCACGAGTCTTTTATTTACGCTCATAAATAATAATGCGTCTGGTGTGGATGATAAAATCGACTTAGTAAAAGCCAACACTTCACTATTGTCAATATTTATTTGTTTTGTTTTTCGAAACGTTTAGATGAAACACGATAATTGTATATTGAAGTCTCTTATGGGGATATGACATTAAGGTATATTGTTTAAATCATTCGAGTTTTGAATAATATGCACTTAACTATTAATCTAACAGTTTCATTTCAATTTAGAATTTGAAAATTTGACATTTAAAGAAAGAAATGTTAATTAATAATAATGTATATACTGCTTCTCCAAAAAAGAGAAAAATATGTATAAAAATGTATGAATAATAAGCAATGTGATGCCCACAATATACTCATCATAATTTATTTATTTATTTTTCAACTTTTCAATTGATCAAATTTTAATTATAAAAACTTACAATTTTTTATCAAAATATATTAATTTTTTTATAAATTTTGTCAAACAACCCCTTATTATGAGCGGGACCCTCCCCCAAAAAATAAAAAATAAATAAAAAGAAGAAAATATATCTATCTAAACTGACACGTAAATAATATTGATGAAAATTAATTTTTTTAATTAGATTTTGATAAAAGTTGATGAAAGAAACGTGGTTGAAAAATTAAAATGAAATGTTAAACTTTAATTTAAATTTTATAGGTGAACAAACATTGATTTAAGAAAGTGTAAAATTGAGATGGTCATAATTTCCAAATTAGGAAGGCATTTTCCTAATTTCAGAGAGGTAATAATTAATTAATTTTGTGGTATGGCGTGTAAGCGCATTTTGACGGGTCAATTTTTACTCTAATAAAACCCATGCGATGAATCCAAAATGCATCAATCTTACCCACCACCATTTTGTGTTTCCCACGGCGGTGCGTGTATTCCACGAGACTGAAATATGGGCAACGTATCCTCCACTGCCCAGGGTTATTCTCCTGGCAGTTCAACGCATCTGCGTAATCCAAGCCTTGCCCCTCACCACAATCGCTACACCGTAAATGATTTCAACCTAAATTCACAGTTTCTGGAGGATATTTTTGTGAATCAACAAGAAGATTTTACTTCTGAGATTCCTGACGAATGTTTAGCTTTGATCTTTCAATCTTTAAGCTCTCGCGACAGGACCCAGTGTTCTTTGGTATGTCGACGGTGGCTCGTGGTAGAGGGCCAGAGCCGCCACCGCCTCTCCCTTAACGCGACCGTGGAGGTCAACTCGCACCTCCCTGCTATCTTCACGCGGTTTGATTCCGTCACGAAGCTATCTCTTCGCTGTGACCGTAAATCCGCTAGCATAGATGATGAAGCTTTAACCTTGATCTCTAGGCGGTGCCAGAATCTCATCCGCCTCAAGCTCCGTGGCTGTCGCGAAATCTCTGATGAAGGAATGTATGCTTTGGGGAAGAATTGCAAATCCCTCCGCAAATTCTCCTGTGCAGGATGCTCGTTTGGAGCTAACGGCATGAACGCCTTTTTAAACAATTGCTCATCCTTGGAAGAACTTTCCGTTAAGCGTTTACGGAGTACCAGTGATGACTTTGCAGCTGAGCTGATAGGCCCTGGAGCCGCGGCTTCCTCGCTCAAATCAATTACCCTTAAGGAGCTTTATAGCGGACAGTGTTTTGGGCCCTTGATTATTGGGTCCAAAAACTTGAAAACTTTGAAGATTCTCAGGTGTTTGGGGGACTGGGATAGGTTGTTGGAGACTATTGCAGGGAGAAAGAATTGTTTGACAGAGATTCATTTGGAGAGGCTGCAGGTGAGTGATATTGGGCTAATGGCGATATCCAAGTCCCCGGACTTGGAGATCTTTCACTTGATGAAGGCTCCGGATTGCTCGAATGAGGGGATTTGTGCAGTGGCTGAGAACTGCAAGCTTTTGAGGAAGCTCCATATTGATGGGTGGAGGACTAATAGGATAGGCGATGAGGGGTTGATTGCCTTAGCGAAGAATAGTGTGAATCTCGTGGAACTGGTTCTTATTGGAATCAACCCGAGTTCTGTAAGTTTGAAGGCTATAGCCACATATTGTCAGAAATTGGAAAGGTTGGCACTTTGTGGGAGTGAAACAATTGGGGATCCTGAGATTTCATGTATCGCGGAAAAATGTATGGCCTTGAAAAAGCTTTGCATAAAGGGTTGTCGCGTGACAGATTCAGGGATTGAGTCATTCGCATTTGGGTGCCCTAATTTGGTGAAGATAAAGGTTAAGAAGTGTAGGGGAGTAACTGGTGAAGTTGCGGATTGGTTGAGGGCAAGGAGGGTGTCACTGGCTGTGAATTTGGAGGCAGTTGAGATTGAACCAGAGGCTATGGACGTGAGTGCCAGTGATGAAGGAGCGCAGGATGATGGTGCGGAATTCCCGTCCATTGTGAGTGGAACTGTAATTGGTGGTGGTGGAAATGTTAATGCAGCAGCAGCTGCTGTTCCATCAACTAGTAATGGAGGTCGATCCTCGAATAAGTCAAGATTTAGCCTTTTTGCTGGATGGACTTTCGTTGCATGTGCTTTTCGGAGGTTATCAAATGGTAACAGTAGTTCAAATGATAGCTTATAGATGAACTCGATAAGAGTTAGAAAAAGATAAATCATTGTCAAGTTTTCATTCTTGTTGTATTGGACCATAGTGTTGTTGCAATTAATGTTTGTGCTTCCGTTGTTGTATCTTGGGCTTCTTTGCTGTGATTTCATTTGTTACCTGCCTGTCAACTTGTTTGAACGGTCCTTTTTCCATAGACATATAGACGATGATTTCTTTGTTTGCCTATTGAATAGCTTGATTGTATTGCATGCCGTATGCAAGTTATAGCGGAGGAATAGTTTAGTTGACCCTAACTTTGTAGGATTGAATTGATATTTCCTATTCCGGTGTTTTCTGTATCACACATAATTTGTTAAAGAGAGGGATTCGGCGCATAACTACACGCATCAGTTGCTTCTTTTGAACGTGGTAGCGGGTAATTTTTGGTACCATAACTGTGAGCCAATTCGATTTTTAAAAGGTAACATGAAATTCATGCTAGAACCTCTGAGACATGCTCGTGGTGTGGTATGGGCCGTCTAAACTAAAACCCGGTTTTTTGTAAAGCAATGATGCATATGATCAACTGCATTTTATTGCAAATGAACTACTGAATTTCTGCCACTTGCGATTGTTATATTTGTCACACAATGATTTTGTGAAATTTCTCATATGGCATCAAAGCACACGGGCAGGATTTGGCTTGGAAGACCAATTCAATAGCTAGGAAGTTGGTTCCTCTTAAGTATATATTGTTGCAATTAATGTTTTTGCTTCCGTTGTTGTATCTTGGGCTTCTTTGCTGTGATGTCATTTGTTACCTGCCTGTCAACTTGTTTGAACGGTCCTTTTTCCATAGACATATACACGATGATTGCTTTGTTTGCCTATTGAATAGCTTGATTGTATTGCATGCTGTATGCAAGTTTATACCGGAGGAATAGTTTAGTTGACCCTAACTTTGTAGGATTGCGTTGGTATTTCCTATTCCAGTGTTCTCTTTATCATACATAATGTGTCAAATAGAGGGATTCGGCGCATAACTACACGCATCAGTTGCTTTTGAACGTGGCAGCGGGTAATTTTTGGTATCATACTGGAAACTGTGATCGAATTCGATTTTTAAAAGATAACATGAAATTCATGTAAAACCTCTGAGACATGCTCGTGGTGTGGCATAGGCCGTCTAAACAAAAACCCAGTTTTTTGTAAAGCATTGTTGCATATGATCTACTGCATTTTATTGCAAATGAACTACTGAATTTCTGCCACTTGCGATATATATTGTTATATTTATCACACAATGATTTTTTGAAATTTCTCGTATGGCATCAAAGCATACGGGCAGGATTTGGCTTGGAAGACCAATTCAATAGTTGGTTCCTCCTAAGTATGTTTGCGCGTTTTATGGTTTTAGTCAGCCCTTTTTTTTTTTCTGCTAGAATTGAGAACATCACATGCTAATTTCCTAAAGCTTTTATTAGTATGCTAGCACATGACCTGACTTTTGAAATGTCTAGCACGTTGATTTTGGTACACTGATTTGACTTTGAACTGGTCTTTTAGTAATCTCTGGTTTGTTTACTGGTTCATTCGTATCTCAGTTAACACTCGTAGTTACAGTAGTAATCTGATTGGTCCCAATTTTTCACCAAGTAAACTGTTCATCAACTAAATAAAAACTCAGAAGTAATCGCCATCATCTTTTGCCTCCTCTCGAAGTTGTGCTGCTATATAGTTTAACCAATTTTTGGCTTTCATTTTCTTTTCTTTATATTTTACTTTTGAAAGTCAAATATGGATTTTAATCACCGCGAAAGACTCGCAAGTATCAATTTATCCACTTGAAAAGTTAAATTTAAGTAGAAGAAAACAAAACCAGAACAAAGGCAACGCATGGTTGGGATGTAAGGTAACTCAGCTAAGTGGCTGTAAGGAAACTATTAAATTCACTTATACATTTGGGATGTGTTTTAATGTTAATTCATTAAAGAACGTGACATTGACACACTGCTGAAGGGTAAGCACTGCTAACAAATAACATTATTCTTCGAACAGGGAAAATGGGCAAGATTTTTGGCATTTTGGCTTCGGATGGTTATGCCTCTAATGAAAGAGCAGCCCAAATTAGCCTGATCAAATTAAGCCAGGTTCGTTAACAAATTGCAAAAGCCAGATCATCTCAAACGAAAACCATCTCTCTCCAATGCGAGAATCCTACACAAATAGTTAGAGTTGGGTATAGTTTGATTCGATCAGTTCGAGAGAGACTTAAATAGGAACTAATGGTTTTAATACTAATTCGATAGAGGTGGGCATAGTTCTTGGCTTTCAAGAAGCGCCTTCTCCCGGAGATTTTGACATTAACTAGAATCCGTCCGCTCATATAATTGAGCTGCCCCTGGTTAGCTTCAGCTAAGGTTCCAATTGCAGACGGATGGAAAATCCAGCTCGATTTCAGCAAGTTATTGATTGATGATGGGCAGTGAATGGGCAACCTACTCACCTTTAACTTTGGCAATTGTTGCTTAGAGAGAGCCCAGGGTTTTCCCTTACGAACGCGTCAACTTGGTACAATAGCAATCTTCGCAGTACATCGCTGAGCAAGGGCCAAACTCAGAAACAGACAAGATGTATGCATTCAGACATTGAACCATGAGAGAGATGCATACTAAGTTGGCAAATAAGCGAAGAAACTTTACTATCACAAATATAAAAATCCAAAATCCGGAAGCAAAATTAAAAGAGGCAATAAAAGAAAAAGGAAATGAATTCAGTTATCTGTATTTCCTTCTCACCTATGCTACTGACACTATATAAAGGTTGAACCCCGCCCCTCCCCTAGAACATTGTGGATGAGGTAAATCGTGGAATGTGCAAGTAAGAGTACAATAGCTGACATATTGAAGTCAGGCCCGGCCCTAAGGCGAGGCGAATGAGGCCGTCGCCTCAGGCCCAAACCTGGAAGGGGCCTAATTTTTTGGCCCAATTTTTTTTACTAGGCCCAAAAGTGAATTAGGATTTAGGCCCAATTCTAACCTAAACAAACACTCGACGTCTTCACACTCTCACCCTCTCTGGCTCTCTCCTTCCCGCTCGCTCTCGTCTCCAGTTCTCCACTTCAAAATTCATTCATCTCCTCCAACTCAAGCCGACGCCGGACTCTCCACCAGTGCAGTCTCCTCCTCTTCTAGTCTTCTTTTTCCTGCCTTAAACTTTTTCCCTTTCGAGACCTTCTCAATCAGCGAACTGCGAAGTGCGAACCATTTCGTTTTTTCGAGTTCCGTTCGCCGCTGGTTCGATGGAGGACTACTTCTGCGGTTCTGCTTCGTGCTGGTAGAGTGGTAGTGGACCAGTGCCCAGTGGTAGTCTTAAGCCT